TAAATCAATTTTATTGTGGGAGGGTCCCGGTTTTTGTTCACCCCTCCCTCTACAGGGCGTTAAAATTAACCTTTCCCTGGGTTGTTGGCGGCATATCCCAAAACAGTACCATCAAGACTGCAATGGGTACTGGGTCTATGGGAGAAGCCATAGGAGTTCTAACCTCGAGTATGCTTCAACCCTAAGGTAAATGTCTCACAATTGCTCTGTGGTTAGCAACTTTGAATAGGCAAGGCCTGAGGTCAGAGTCTTGCAGGGTGAGGCTCTTCCGGGTGTGGGTAAACTTAGATAAGCTTAAACCCAGAATGACTGGTTACTGGAAATTCAACACGTTGCTCAAAGTGAAGGATTTCTGCGATCAGTTACTACTCTAACCATACAGAAGGAATTGACAGCAAGTTTGTTTGGGAATAAGTGGTGGGCCCACATTGAGTCTGTCATCAGGTCGTTTGCAGCTGATTAGTCACCAGCTCAATAGAGATAGATTAGCAGTGCAAATAGCACCTGAATCTAGATTAGAGGTTGCCATCCAATCGGGAGATAGCTTGGCCCTAGCAGTAGCTGGCCTCCTTTCTTATCAAGAAGGATCAAGCTATGGTAGTAAGGGCTTGGTTAAAGAGTATGTCTGTTGAGGCGACGAACATGGCTCTGAACTGCAGCAAGAGGAGTTGCACAGTGTGTCGGATCATTACTTTCCAAGTGTCATATTACCAGTGACTACAAAATGAAGGCATCAGTGAGGCCTTTCGGTATTATTTCCACAAGCTTTTCACCAGGGAGCCTAGATTCAGCCCCTCTAATTTAACATATTTAACTTTCCCCATCTCAAGAGGAACAAAGTGGCTGTGTGCAAAGGGGCTGTCACCAAGGCGGAAATCTGGGAAGTGCTAAAGCAGGTCAACTGAGACAAGACTCATTTTTGTTCTGCTGCTGGCAATGATGTTCAACCACTGGTTGAAGAATGGGAATATACTCCAACGTTTCACCAGGGGTGTCATCAAGTTGTTACACAAGAACAAAAACATGGGATAGATAATTTCTGCCCTTTGACCATGCTGAATGCAGAGTTGAAGATTTTGATGTAGGTCATGGCCAGCTGTTTGCAGCTTGCCCTCACTAGTCTGATCTTCCTGAACAGATATGCAATTGTGAGGGGCAGGACTATTTAGGACAACCTTCATTTGGTTTGACAGATCATGGAAAAAGTCAACGGTGAAGCAGTGCTGATCAATTTGGATCAGTCCAAGGCATTTGATAGGGTGGACTATCATTTTCTCAAGGCTGTTCTCACGTCTGCCAGTTTCAGGCTGCACTTTCGTTCCTGGACCCATCTCCTGTACAGGTCTTGGTGGGTACTGGTGGAAGTGAATGGGATAAGGTCAGAGCCTTTCATCTTGTCTCACTCCATTCATCAGGATTGTCTGCTTTCACCTATGCTCATGTTTTGGAACTGTTCTTGCACAAGCTAAAGGTGAATCTGGTCCTTTGTGGAATTTCATTGCCTGGTGCCACCAACTCGGCCAGGTATTCTGCTTATGCTGATGATGTGTCTGTTTTTGTAAAAAACACTTCCAAAATCCACAAAGTCATCAAAGAAATTTGCAGGTATGAGATGGTGACAGGGTCCAAAATCAATCGTGATGAGTCTGTTTCTCTCCTCAGTTCCTTCATCTGGATGGACAGGCTGGAGAAGATACTTGGTATCTGGTTCAGTCCCAGCCTTCAGTTGGACACTAACTGGTCGGAGGTTCAAAAGAAGGTTGAGGAAGCAGTGCATCTGTGAACTTGAAGGAATCTTTCCTTGAAGGGCAGAGCACATCTATCCAATTCTCCTTTACTGGATTTTGGTTCTTCCACTCCCGTCTACTGAATGAGACAATTTCATTGAAGGCCTTTTCAATATCCTCTGAAGAGGGAAGGTAAGTTATGCTGCCTCTATCTGCCAAAGGTGGTCTGGGAATGCCAAGTGTCAAGACACGTCATCGTATGCTCCACTTGAATTTCCGAGAACAGATTTGTACACAAGAAGACAGTGAGGGCAAATCCTGGAAGGAAGATGCCCGTCGATCTTTCCTGGCCCTAGAAAGTGTGCATTCCAACAAGGTGGAGGTGCACCGATCACCCCAAGATGAATGCCTCTTTTATTAGGAGTGTCAAAATGTGCTATGCTGCCTCTTATGGGTGAAGGATTGCCTCTCTGACACCCGAGTATTGTTTTGCAAGGCATTGTATTGGATGATAGTGAGGGGGGTGGCCAAGAACAAGCTCCCAGATGACCTGGGGAGTTTTGCTCTGTCTCGCCTTGGGTGCCTGGGTTGAAATGTCTCAATAATGAGGAGGCATCTCTCACTTGGCTGGTATTGTGAGGGGCTCTCTGGGTTGGCAAGAAGTTTTGTGCAACGGGCTTGGCAATTTCAGCTGAGTCTGTGCACTGTGGTGACTGGGAGGATTCCATTGGATACGCCTTCTTTCACTGAGGCATTGTGCACCTGTCGTGCAGGTTGATTGAAGACTACATGGTACATGATCTTAAAGTTAAGATCAGGGCGGAAAGGGTGCATCTCTCCTTGTCAAAATTCAGCAAAAGGTGGGTGAGAGTTTTGCATTTGGTGCAAGTGAGAAGTGCTGACCTGAAATGTTTGTTGGATGCGACTTAGGAAAGAGGATTTTGGGCCTTGAACTGAAACATCAGTCATCCCGGCCATTTTAAGGTAAGATATGACATTTTCTTTTTCAGTTTTGGCTTCCTTGTGGCAAATATTTTCCTTTTAAACTTATCTAGTGTATGCAAGTACATAGATCCCCCATTTTTGTCCTCTATTTTCGTTTCTTGTCTCCACCCCACCCCGTTTTTTAGGTGACAGATGTCTTTGTTCTCTGGTGAGATCAGATATTCCTTGTGTCTGCCTTTTTTAATCCAGTTAGCCAGGATTTCTGCCACATGTTTACTTTCAGCGAGGGGTCCTAATACTAATATTGTTTTGTTTAGTTTCTTGTACATATATCTTTTTCATTGTATATAATCATTGGGTTTTGATTTTTTTCCCCATCCCCTGATAATTGTATAAATAAAACTTCATGCTAGGGATTTCATTGAGAAAATGGGGTATTTTGGTGATTGTGGTGTGACAGCCAAGAGTAAATGCATTGTTATGGTGAAAGGAAAATTGTAAGTATGAATGAGTCAACGAGTGAGACTAGCTAGTTTTGAGGTAGGACTAGTGAAGACCAGTCTTTTCCACATCCTCACTTTTTAGCCCATGTGGCACATTCTGTATTTTTAATGCAAATAAATATTAAAATGAAGAGGAACAAAGTAGCAGGACAAGATGAGATTGTATTAGAGATGCTGTGAATCTTAGACATTTTCAGGATTGATAAAGTTACCAAATGATAAATAAAATATATGACTGCAGCAAAATACTAGAGATCAATCGCCATAGTCCACCTAAATAAACAGGTTCAAATGAATGCAACAACAAGCTTGATGAGTCACATAACTAAACTAGTCATTAGGATTCAAATGAATAGAGCTTGTACCTGAACTAGACTGGAAAAAGGGCAAGAACACTGAATTTGTTCAAGACAATGGAACAAGAAATAAAACTTTTAAAATCAGAATGCTATCAAAGTAAGTAACACAAATGCAGAAAGTCTGTGACATAAATTTCCTTTAAATATTAGAAAAACTTTATTAAGGCACGAAAGATATTAGTGCAATCCATAACCTCTACTAGGAACAGACATAATAAATGCAGATAGAGAATGAGTTTTGAGAAATCACAAAAATAGAAAAAATAGTTCAACAAGGATGTTTTTTCTCACCAGATTTATTTAATCTGTACAGTGTGATGATCCTCAGAGAACTAGAATACCTACCAGGATTTATCATTAGAGGATATAACCATATATATTTTACAAGACTGATCGCTATATATAACCTTAATATATGATATGCGGATGACACTGTACTATGGCAGACTCAGAAAGAAACTAAAATAACTTTTAGATATAATAGTCAAGGAAAGCAAGAAGGGTTAACCATTAATTTTAAGAAAACAGAGTAAATGATTGTCAGCAAAAGAGACAGCCCAAGTTGCAAGCTATGTATTGGGGATGTCAAAATCAAGCAGATACAGAAATTTAATTATCTTTTTGTGTATTTTGTGTTGTAACAGACAATGAAATTCAAATGCATAGGAATAGCAAAAGATGCCATTAGATACTAAGCAAAGTATTAAAAGATAGGAAAATGTCTTTAAAAACAAATTACTACTATGTAATATCTTATCTTCTATATGGTAGCGAATGTTTGACAACCTCCTTAATGATGAAGAGACTTAAAGCAACAGATATGGTTTTACTGAAGAATCTTCAGAATACCATGGACAGAACATGTGAATAAGGAGGAGGTTTTTAACAACAAAAAGAACTACAATGAAACTATTACTAACAATCAGAAACTGACAGCTGAAATTTCTGAAACACCTAATGAAGAAAGAAAGCTTGCAGAATTTAACACTCACAGTGCATATTGAGGGCAAAAGAAGCAGGAAGAAACAATGAATTATCTAAATGAAGAATTTAAATAAATGGATGGCAGCACAAAATCTCAAAGATGCATGCCCTGAAAGGATATGACAAATAAAAGAAGATCTTATGCATTCAGAAGTCAGCTCTACATCTAGAACTTTGTAATATATTTTAAATATCTGTAGTCTATAAATTATATAATAAAATTCATCTCAGTTATAATAAACTTTTTTACTAGCTAATGAATTAAAATAGTTCAATACTTCTTAATAGACAACTCTCAAGCTCTAACATTTGAATTAATTTTTTTTTTATGCTATTATAATGATGATTTTTTAGTGATTTGATAATCAAAATTGATAAAATGCATAATATGGTTTACATGAATGTATTAATTTACAAACATTAAAGTAAATTTCTTTATGTGAGTGCTTCATAGACTGATTTAAAAATTATAATGTACGTACCTTGCCTGTCTTCCTAAAACAAGAATGAAAACAGTATTAGAACAACTATTGAACTCTTACATTTAATGGATAGCATTTCAATTATTCATAATATTTTGATATTGCACATTTTACAAGACTGATTACTAAGAAAAAGGTATCATGTTGTAACTGAGTTATCAAAAACAATAGTAGAAAACCAGAATTGGTTTAGCAAGTTTATTGACTTTTGGTACAGGGAAACATAATGTAGAATAGAAACTAGGGAAGAGAATGTTTAGCTGTGAATGACTTTTGTTTTCATCAAAAGTTACTGCTGCTACTGCTCCTCCTCTTGATATAGGAGTATTTTCATCTGATGACTGAGTCCAAACTTGTAGGGAAATATTCTCCTTCACAACATATCATTTCTTTGATTTTTTTGTTAAATCAAATTATCATTCTGTATAGTAAAGATGTTAAGGTTATATTAAGTAATTTAATTCCTGAACTGTCTGAGTTGTTATTTTTTTATTTTTAAATTTAGAGTGCAAGACATATATACAAGCAAAATTTTTTCCAATATTAATTTTTAACTCTTTAAAAGTTAGGATATAAATTGTGATATTTTATTATACTTATAAAATAAAGCATGTAAAATATAGATCTTTATTTCATAATTTATTGTATATTTTAATATTTGTTTATATATTTAATATAAAAATAGATTCTGGCAAAATATTTAAAATTTTCCTTTTTTTTTTATACAAACTTTCCTTTACAACAATTGGAGCATCAACTATAATGTAGTCTGTTACAAATGTTTCTTTTAGGTTTCCTTATAAACATTGGTATTATTCATTTGATTAACTCAATGAACCAAGATACAAACACTTTTTTCATAATAATTAACCAGTTTCATTCATTACATTCAGATAATTTTAGCTGAGCATGGTCATACTTAACAAATTCTCAAGTTTGAGCCTTATTTCAATGCTTAAAATGAAAGTGAGAATTTTCAGATATTTTCCATAAATTGAGCCTCATTTTATATTTAAAGTATACTTAGTTTTTGAACATATTGAAGCAAAAATATTTGCAATTTATCTCATTTTTATAGTACCATGCAAAAGCCTTTGTCCACTTTAAACTACAGGGTGTCCCCAAAAATTAACATTGTTTAAAATGTGAATATCTGAGTAAAGGTAAACAAAATGAAATGCACTTCATGTTGAGCAATAAAAGATTTATTTATCAAAATTCAAACAAGATATTCAAAGGGATGTAGATTTTATAACTGATTTCACAAAGCTTCAATATGTACACTAACTGTGATACAACACATGTCAAGTCAGTAGTGTTATATTCCGTATTTAGTTACGTGGGCGATGTGAAATCAATGTGGGTGAAATACTGCGTTTGGTTGCAAACAATGGAATTCAGAATCGAAAGAACAAGAAAGACTGTAGATATATTTTATAATCTCTTTTAGTGAGGAAAATAAGAACAAGTAAAAAGTTTGTATTTAAGAAGTTGAGGGAAAGGTACCCTTTGACAAGGCGTCGGACGAGAGTTCAATAGCAGCAGCAGTCACATGCTTCGTTTCATCGCGGGGCCAGTGTGTCAGGAGCGAGCGACGTGACCCTTCTGCCTCCGCCGTTGAGTGGCACTCCTTTTGACTTTCCCGTGTTCTTATACACGCCTATCGGCTCCAAATGGCAATTTTTTGAATACGTGGGAGACGGTCCGATTGATTGATTTAATTCTTTTCATTTTCTTTTTTCGAGTTTATCCCAAACGGAAGTATCTGCGTCGAGCCTATGCGTAGACGTGTAGTTTTCATTTTGAGTCGGGGACTCGTGATGGTAACTTCCGTTTATCGAAGCAGGGCAAGATCTCATCTTGTAACAGTAGTCCAGCTCCTGCTAAACACACTGTAGCATGTCTTGTGTAACTTTCTCCAGCATTTCAATGTGAACTTATCTCAATGAGAATCTACCAGGAAGATGGACTGGGCATGCCAGTGATAATGACAATGTGCTGTTGAAATGACTACCATGTTCACCTGACTTGACACCTGGTGATATTTTTCTATGTGGCTATGTGAAAAGACAGGTCTATATCCTCCCTCTTCCTTTTAAAAGCCTAGAGGAACTTAAGCAGAGAATCACTGAGTTGCTGAAGAAGCCTATTTAATTTTGTTTGCCTGGGACATGTAGTTGCTCAGATACACAATTTTAAATGATGTCAGTATTTTGGGACACCCTGTAATGTGAATTTCTAAGAATCATCAGCTTATAAGTGAATGATGTGCATTGCATTTTCTACAAATTAAACATTGATTCTATTGGAATAATTTCCATACTTTATTTCATTCTGAATGAGAGTTTTATTTATCAATTCAGTTTCCAAGTATTTCTTTAGAATTTTTATATGCTATAGGTTCTTTGCATCTACATTTATTGAATTTGAGAAGATTGTAGAAAGCTCATCAGAACTCTGATCCTTTGTTATAGTCCTCTTTCATGATGCTGTCTATTGTTAAAAACATGAAAAGAGTGGTTGCTATAACAACCATTATATAACATAAGTAAACATTTATTAAATGTAATATACTCATTTACTGAGTTATAAACACATGCAAATATCTTGTTTTTGTTTTTGTTAAAATACCATGTTCCTTTAGGATGTTGACAACTATAGTTCTCTGCAGATAGTTTCTTTATTCTCCGCTAATCATCATGACTTGGAAAAAATAGTGGAGTGGTTTCCCATTGCCTTCTACATTATTCTGAATTCAGGGTTATCCTTCTCCTAGACTGTTACCCAAGAGGCTTGACGTGATAAGAAATGGGTAATTTAACAAGGACATTTGTGTGCAAGTGATTGCAACAATCAGCAATTTGATTTTGATTTGCAGATTCCACTTTTTTCTGCTGATGACTGTCATGTTACCCACATATCCTATGTGACTATTAAACATTCAATAATATATTTAAAAAATCATCAACTACTCATTAAAACAAGGGAAACACCCTTAAAATATCAACAAAATGGCAAAAATTCTAGATATGACTAGCATACAAATATTGTAAGTAAATGAAAACATTTAAAAAATACTTCTTCACAGAATATAAAAAAATTAGCTTCCCACTATTCAATCTTTTTTCCTTTATTTTATGATCTAACTAATACAATTGTGATACAGGACAAAAATAATACTTAATTTTTTTTTATAGGAGATAATAATCATTAATTAATTAAGCAAATACATATAATGTTTTTCTTTTAAGTAATAATTTAACATGATCTCAATATGATTATCACATTCAACAGTTCAAAATTCACTTCTACATGACCAGTAGTTTTACTATCTATATAATCTGAACACTGTTTTTTTTTTAAAGATAGCATTAAAAAGAACTTACTTCTGTGAATCTTGATGTACTTCATGACCTAGACAAAGAAAAAGGACAAAATAAATACACTGACAAATTTTAGATAACATTATTTTATGTTTTGATTAGGTAAAAAGAATATAGCTTATTTCAATTATATTTGTTTTGTTCTTTCCCATATAATAAAATTAATCCTTAATATATTTATTTTTAAAACTTAAATTTCCAGAATCACTTGGAAAAGTTATAAAAAGTACAGAAGATAAAATAGTTGATATTTGATTCAAAATTTATTAGAAATTTTCAGCAGTAACATCAAGTAAATAGAATAATAGAAATGTGACCACAAATGTATGGCAGTAGAATTGGTTAATCAAAAGTTTTTGGTTGAATTATTGGATTGCTCTGATCTGAACATTTTTCATAATAGATGTCACTTTTTTGTATTATTTTAATATTTTTTATTCAAATCACGAAAGAGACTGCTGGATTTTTCTTAATGACATCCCTAGTGCAAAGGAAGTTACTTGGCAGTGCCCATTTCTAAATAATGAAACATATATTACAAGGTTAACATGGTACTCATAACAAAGGATTCCTAGTTGTTGCCAACAATAACTGTGGAATACCAGTAACAAGACTTTTCCAAGACATTTGGTACAGGGTGAGGTGGATTCATAGGTTTCCTAAAGATATTACTGTAAAATTAACACACACACACACACACACACACACACACACACACACACACACCCCATACACCCTATATCATATGGTATTCAAATATGGTTTAGCAATTCATTTTCCTGTGCTAAGACATATCATACCACCTCATGTATGTGTGTGTGTGTGATAACAAGCATTTGACTGCAAAAAAAAGGAACTTAAAGGTATTAAGATTTCAACAGTGAGTATTTGTCAAATTTTGGAATATATACATAGTTGTTTGAAAAAGATAAGGGTGTTGTTAGTAGGGCTAAGAGTTGTCCGATTTCTTGGGTTGGTTGGCTGAAATCACAGTTGGGGACAGAAGATAGTTCTGGAGTGGATTAGCTATTGGTAGGTTTCATTTATGCCCTTCTTCATAGTTGAAATCAACACCTGTTAGGTGTTTGAGGGGTTGGCAGTTCTGTTCCTGCTATTTATCTAAAGCTCCTTGATAAAATCCAAAGAAGAACCAGCAATATTATTGGCTCTTACCTGGCATCTCGGCTTCAGTGACTTTCCCACCACCATAAAGTTGCCACCCTTTGCCTTTTCTATAAATACTTTCATGGTAATTGTTCAGATGAGCTCTTCACTATGGTACCTGAATTTAAGCGCAGTAATAGACCAATTTAGTGTGGAGTTGGCTAGATGTAACCATAAATTCTGTGCTAGCAGTTTCTTTTCTCACACTTTTTGCTTGTGAAACTCTTACAATTCTATGCTTTCTAGCTAACTTTAACCTGAAAAAATTTAAATGCAATGTCAATAGCTATGTTTTATCCTCCAAATTACTCTACATTTGTTCTCACTCCTAAGCAATGTTTCTAACTCTTCCACACCCCATAACCCCTTGTGTGTCAGTGACTTTACTGCCTTGCATGGGGTGAACAATTAAAAAAAAGATGAACACAAAATAATTACAGCAACACAGAAATTTAATAGAATAATTAAGAAATAGAATAATGAAAACAAGTCATGATATAAACTAATAGAATATCACTCTAGAATACCCAAACTTTATGGTTTACCTAAAACCCACAAAATAGACATTCTGATGCATCACATTATATCAGGCATTGATTGCACTCCCCAAAAACTGTCAAAAGCCATAACACTTCTACTTGGAACAATCATCCTATCACATGTTAAAAATTCAGGCAACCTGTTTGAAAAACAAAGGGGAATAAATGTCAGATAAACTCATGGTGAGTTTAAATGTTAAATTCCTTTATACTAATATTCCTATTAACAAATGCTTAAATCTTTTAATAAAAGCATCTAACACAATCAAAAATAAATCTCTCCCTACCAATAGCTAAAATCATAAAAATCTGCCAACTCGTCATCAATATTTTAAGAGGATTTTATGGCTCAGTAGCTAATGAAAGATAATTAGATTTTATCCAGTAGAAAATATATTGATCTTTGAATACAGACAAATGTCTGTCCCTTTCTTGTTATGCTTCATTTAGCTTCATACTTATATGATTTGATATTCACACCTGTTCAATTTTCCTCATGCATTTGTCAGTAACTATTTTGGACTTTTGAACTGAGCACTTTATTCACTCCATAGGGATAAATTTGTTAAATAATAGTTTAGAAGACTATTATTTTTTAGAGTATTGTATCTCTGCTCAGACTTCTTCAGTTTGAGCAATGGGTTCAGATACAAGACAAAATAAAGGAAATCAATTTTGATTGACTGAACTAGCATGGAAATGATACATAGAGAAAGGGAGTCAAGTCTGTCAAAAAGTGTAGACATATTTCCTTTTGTCTCTGGATCTGTTCCCCAGTGGAGGGGAGGGGGGAGCAAACCCACTGGATAGTTAGAGATGTATATGTTGGTGTTAATAAACTAGTTAAGTCAAATTAACTTTGTTGATGTCTTTTTATCACTGGAACAAAAACAACTAGTGATTACCGACTGAGAGAAGATAAGAGAGAGAGAGAGGATAAAACATATGAGTGAATCGATGCTGTCACCCAAGACCCCCACCAAGGGACTTATGTGACAGACAAATTTAACACAGTGACCAGGGCCTCCCAGCATAGTGAGGGCACAGAATGAGGGTTAACACAACATAGAAAAGTTCAGAGAGAATTTTCAGACTGAGAACTCAAGAAAGGAATATGAAAAAATGAAATAAAGTAATCTAGACATAAGGACAGAAAAAAAGAGAAACTGTAAATACTATGTTCTACTGCTCACACACACAAATCTAAGCAGCAAACCAAAATAGGAAGTAATGATGAAAAGAAATGTTAAAAAAAAGTAAAAAGCAGTAAGCAAACAGGGTTTGATAGACAGTAAAAAAGGACAAATAGGGAAAAGAAAGTGGGGACATAATGAACACCCAAACTCACACATACACACTGATGTGACAATGTCAATTTTCATGAAACATTTTAGTGAGAGACTGATTTTTGTTGTTTTGTTTTGTCTTTTTTACAAAGGTTTAGAATCATGTGTGAAAATCTATTGTTGATTTTGACTGCCACACTATTGTTGTATGCCTGGTGGTCTGATTTTTATTTTGTTTGTGGAAAAGATCTAGCTGTGAAAATTTCGCTTTCAAAAGAAAATTTTCTAGAGAAGGAAATTTGACCAGTAAATAAATTTTCCTGATGTTGACCTTTGAAGAAGTTTGATGATGTTGGCCATGTAGAGAACTGAATTTGCTTACATGAACACAATGGAAAATTCTTTTGAAAAGGAAAGACTGATGGCATTTTGTGATGGGGTATTCCCACTGCGATTTCTGTGTACTATTAATGAGTTGAAAATTGTTTGTGACTATGGTTTTGCGAGCATTCAAATGTTTTAAGTTTAGAATTATTTTGTTAATTGTAATTAACTGACAAATGATTGCTTTTTCATTTTTGTAACAGAGTGTGGAATTATTTTTTTAATCTAAGAGCTATGTGTGTGTCCTTTTGCCTTCATTGTTTGAATAATAAAGTTGTTAATGGGGGAATATTGTGAGTTAATTTATGTGGAAAAAATTAAGTTAATTAATTGTTGTGTTCGAATAAGATTTGGCCTGCATAGTTTTGGATTTCAAAGTATGTTTGGGGTGGGGGAAATTGCCACACCTGGCTATGTAGATAGAAACTGGACAATGGTGGGTAGAGTGGGTGTGTTACGCTATGAAGTATTCAGTATTGAGTAAATATATCCCCAAGATACTCCTGGGGTCAAGGAAGTGCCCTGACGACCAAAAGGAATTGGTCAAGTGGCTTGTGGGATGCCAGGTTGCGGTAGACAGCTAATGGAAAAAAAAACCAGTAACCACAGTAGAGCCAGTAATGGATTAGTTAGGCGGTGCTGAGTGGGTGTGGTTGTTTTCCCCATGGGTATGGGCAGAATGATTTGGGATGATGCAAGTTGAGTTTTGACACACAGAGGCAGATGGTTAATAATAGTGATTATAGAAAATTAATGGTGGTAAATTTGTGAAGATTTGTTCAAGTAAATCTTGTAAAACGCAAATACAAAAGTAATTAATTGGTTGTGGTTGAATAAATAAATGGATCGTGTGTGCTGTGTCAGTGTGAGTAGGAAATAAGTGTGGATCATAGTATATTTAAAGAGTAAAATTTAGGTGGCAAGGACATGGCTCGGTTATGGAATTGGTTGACACTGTGACATGGGGTATTTTGGCATGTATTGTGCGATTTTTGGACCAGTGTTTTATTTTCTGTGAATTGTATGTACATTTCATGTAGTCTTAAGTGAAGAGACAAGAAATTTTGCTCTCCCCAGGAATACTGGATTGCAGAGATGGTACCGGCTGACCTGGAAGGAGGGGATATTGGAGTGGTCAAAGTTCACTGATAGAGTGATTTGTATCCAGACTGTCATCATTTGAGGCAGTGATCCTGGGTCATGAAAGCTAGTGACCAAGAATAAACAAAGGATTGTCTGGTATTTTGTTTTTTGTTTAAAAAAATAAATGTTGTGAAGCATGAAAAAACTGGTCAGAATTTTGTTGTTTATGTTCATTCTTTTTCAGGAATGTTATATGTGCATGCCGGAGGGGTCATGTGATTGAGGCCCAATGAAAAAAAAATGTAAGGAGCACACCTTGCAGGCACAAAGGAGTAGAGGGGATTTTAGAGTAATATCGTTAAAATAAAATCCATAAATTTTTTTTTTTAAATGATTAGGTAAGGAATGTTAAATAATAGTTTAGCAGGCTATTATTTTTTAGAGAAGTGTATTTCTGCTCTGACTTCCTCGGTTTGACCTTAGGGGCCAGATATAAGACAAAATAAAGGAAGTTGATTTTGAGTGGCTGAATTATCATGGGAATGATAGATATAGCAAGGTTTTTCAGGGAGTTGGTTCTTACATGTCAAACAATGTAGACGTGTTCTGTTGTGCCTGGAAGTGGCTTCCCAGTGGCTAGTTAGAAGATGTATATGTCAATGTTAATAAACTAGCTAAGATTAGAATTTTATTTATTGATGTTTTTATCTCTGAACTAAACTGACTAGCAATCACCCACTGTGAAGAATGCAACTTTATTATAATCAAATTGGGACCATTGCCCAAGATCACCCCCACTACAGGGATATGCAAAAGATTGTTCTTATTCCATTTGTTATGCTTGGAGGATATTTCATATCTATTAATACTTACTAATATTATTTACCTTTGTTTCTTCCATTGAACCAGCACTACCAGATCCAGAGATTGAACTCATAACTTCAAGGGAACAAGATATGTTTTAACCAACACTTTAATCCACAACAAGTGGATACCTAATGTCTGTATTTACATTGTGGAATTTTCTTAATGCTTTTCATAATCAGTTTATAATAATTTGTTTGGAAGTGATATCTCTGAAAGGTCAAACTGCTTTTTATTACCCTTCTGATGCATCATTTGCTGATCCTTTTAATCTTTTCATATCTACCCTTTATGACTGTGGCAGATGTTTGGCTGTTGACCAAACCTCTTCTGTTCTTGTTTGGAGAAACTGATTCTATGCTTTCAGGGTAGTAGTTACCCTGAAGTGTGAAGTTCACCATCCAGTTGGTATGAATAGGAACATCTCTAATGGTTTTCACAAAGAGTTCTTTACATAGAACAGAGACTTATTTGTCAGAGAGATCCTTATATCTACAAAGAATCTACTCAATAGGTGACAGACTGAACTCTGACAACTGATTCTGGTCTTCGATAGAATATTGTCTTCATGAATTACATGTGGTAGCTTACTGGTTTAATATTGAGTCAGCTGTCTGTATTCATCAAGTAAACTTTCTTGCTCAGGATCTGTGACAGCTTCCTTTTATTTTTTACAGTTGGATCCTTCTTTATCTTGCTGCAGTTACCATCTCTAAAATAAGTTATCTGGAATCGGTAGTTTTAAAAGGGGTCTTAAACATTCCAGGTTCGGCTTCATATAATTCTTACAGATGATATAGCCAAGCAATTTAATTTTGTTCTGTTTGAAGAAATATTTATCCTGGTTGAGTGTCAAATTGTATTTTTTATGGCTATTATGAATTGTTTTAGTTTTTTGTTATGTTCATACAGGTTCTGTCCACATACCGTCATGTTGTCAATGTAGGCAAATATGCTTTTTAGTTGCTCTTTCTCAATTATTTCATCTACAATTCTCTGAAAATGGGCTACCCCATTAGTTATGCCAAATGGGATCCTGCAAAATTGATACAGGTGGCCTCCAGCTTCAAAGGCTGTGTATGGTCTATTGCAGGGTTTAATAGCTGCTTGATGATAAGCCCTTCATAGATCAAGAGTGCTGTACACCCCATATTTGGCTATTTTGCCAATCATGAAATCGATATGAGGTAGAGGGTAGGTAAATTTGATGATGGTTTGTGAATAGTCATTCTTTTCTTATGGTTTTCTGTAGCAGGGATTAGAACCTGGGCTCTCCAAGTAGAATTGCTTGGCTCTATAACTCCTTCTTTTAATATTCACTTGATCTCTGCACTAATGATCCTTCTTGGAATAACACCTTGATTTCACTGCGATAGGCTTACAGTCTGGTGTAAGATTAGAAAAGAGAGCTGGGTAAAGCAGTGGTGATACTCCCTCTCAGCATTTGGTGAATTGGGATCAGTGGTTAGTTTCTCCAGGTAGAGACCATATTCCATCGTTGTATCAAACTAGCAAGTTTTGCTGAATAAACTGTAATGCTGAATGTAAATTTAAGAAGCTTTATTCTGCAAAACTGAATCATTAGTAATTAAATGGCCTTTTCAACATAGTGGTTAGTATTTTAATGAGTAGGATGGGATAGGTTCATTATTATCACAATTCTAAAGCAAAATATTGTAAAAGGTAGAATACATATATTTATAGCAAATGGGATGTATTAACATAAAATGAATAATTTAAGCAGATTTAGAGGAACAAGAAAATTATACAATATTTATGTATAAATAGATAATTTATGCATATTGCATACAGTTCATTTGTACATAGAGAAGTGCACTTACCGGATTCATTTTCTATTGGCCGCCAAACAAAATATTTATCCAATGTAGAAATTGAATTTTGTACTGACCACATATTTTCAGAGTGTTTTTTCTTCTTATGAATTTGTGGTTTATTGAAGGTGGCCTGGTTTGAATTGATTTCTTTGGGTACTGGCAATGTATAAACCAAAGGTCTCCTGCTGTAATACTGCTGAGATTTCTTGCTTAACAGTATGTTCCCTAGTGTAGGTGGATGTCTTTTCAGAATTGTTGGTTGAGCAGAAACAAATTTCTTTGTGATTTTTTTCCCATGCTTCTTGTATTTGCTGGAAAAAAAAAATTCTAATTTATGGAGAAAAATGAAACTATCAACTTAATTTGAAAATTTAAAAACAATTACATTTATATAAAAAAGAAAGAAAAATCACATCTCTAAATATATAAAAATGTAATAAAATTTCTTTTAAGTATTTTGTTATAAACTGTAGACTATCAATTGCAGTTAATGATCTCATGATCATATCAATCAAAATATACTAATTCATTTTTTTTTGTTTAACTTTTGGTCTCTTGTCATATGTAATCCATACCAGAAAATACCAGAGGTCTAATGTCCACCAGGAACCTTTGAATCGGAAAAGAGCTGATCTGTGGTGATCACAATATGTACTGGGTTTACTGTAAGAGATACCAAAATAAGTTTTGTACTAGGTGTCTTCTCAAAATGCTAAAAGACCTAGGTACCTTGGTGGTTATCCTAGGTGACCTCAAAACCACCAAATGCAGAAGAGTTTCTAAAAGGGTGTTAATGATTACACTAACAAATAGGAAGTGAAGGCAGCTGAACTTAGGACAACCAGATGACAGGAACATATAAATGCTTGACTTATGAAGAGGTGGGGAGCAGAATCCCTTGAATCCTCATAGAATTGAATGTTCAAACAAAGGCCTAAAACAACATACCATTGATTAGCCAATTTGACAGAGTCTAAAAATGAATAAACAATCATTTTATTTATGAAAAATTTAATTTCATATTTTTATCAGACATTATTAACATTACACTATGATAAAATTCATAGAAAGTCCTGTAAAACACCCAAGCCATTTTCTTGACAAAGAGTGTAAGACTACAAAATTACAAATTACTTTTTCTAACAAATTTGTTTTTAAATCAGTCAACTTAGATAATATCTCTTTATAACAAATATTTTGAATTCTTTATTAATGAAAAATTATCAAACATGAAATTTATTCTGAGACTGTTATGATAATGAAATAGGATTTAAGTCATAAAAAAACCCCTAACTTATTTGATATTTTCTTATTTGATTGAATTAAAGTTTGGTATTTATAATTAAACCAAAAACTAAATATAAATAAGATATCAAGTTATTAAGAAGGGTCATTTTGAATACATTTTACTTTGAAAGGAGATTAGCAGATTATCACCTTTGTTGTTAGAGATAAAGGAAAATCTGTTATGCTAAGACTATTTGTTTATTCAGATGTTTACAACATCAAATATTCTTTGTGTATTTTACCTAAGAACAAAAATACTTGCATATTGAAAATTTGAGATATTCATTGTACTACATGAAGAGCTAGATTTATCTAAATTCATATTTATGCTGTCAAGATGAATTTAAGAAAGTATGTATGAGCATAGCATCATTTAATCAACTGATAATTGGTCATAGTAGCATTTGTTGATTAATCAGATGTTGCCCCTTTCTCTGTTTTGATTATTTGATTTTCATACTCACTCATCTTTATTACATCACACAAATTTCATTTGTGGCTTAAGAATTGTCCAGGAATTGAAATAATTTTCTAATAGTTCTTCATGATTTTTTGCCAATCTTTATTAAGAGTAATTAAATTACCAATTCTTATAAATGCCCATATGGTAGCATGAGAGAACAAACAAAATAACAAGTACCACTGGTGATACCAAAAAAGAAGACAAGAATTGTTAATATTAAATACTTTGTATTGCCTATACAGAGGATGTGAGTGGAATATCTCTTTGTGGGCTAGGGAAGCAACTTGGAAGGAGGGTAGAGTTTGTAGGGCCTAGAGTTGAAGCATGTGTTGGGTCAGTTGACCGTGGTTACTGGTGGTGACATTGACAGCTTACCCGTTTGCTGATTCTGTTAGTGTTATGAGTGGCATTCTTAAAAGCAAATGTGGTAGATCATGACTTATTATTCATGTTTTTTTCTTTGGTGGCAATGTTTGAGATTGGCTTCATTTATATTGTATTTTCAATTTTTTGAGATGATTTTGTTTTGTGAGCCAAATATGAAGTTAAGAGCAACTTTTTAATTTTTATTTTTGCTTTCTTAGTGTTCAAATTCGGCCAACATGTAGAGTAAATCAGAAAGAGATCTAACTTGAAGCAGAGTATAGCACAATTAACCAGTGCAACCTTAATATATATTAGATTGTATTATAAATCTGGGTATTCTATTGTTTCATTTTTCAGATGCTCTGTTCATTATAAATTTTGTTTTTATCCTTGAAAATATTTGAATGAAACATAATTACTTTATTTCTTATGAATTTAAACTGAGGAAAAATGCAGTTAAGGCATCATGTTGATATTTTGAGAAGTAATAGTTATCAAGTGAATATTACAAATTGAGGAAAACTCATCAATGTCATTGAGAAACATTGTAAAAGATAATCCTAAAAGAACAACACAAGTTTTTCAGTAAATCTTAGATTATCACCATTTAGCTGCAGTAGGAAAATTGGATGAATTGAGATTCCACACAGATTATGACAAACAATCAAATATTGAATCACTTTGAGTTGAGTTTATCAATGCTTACTTTAATAAATGGCAAATCATTTTTGAAATATAATGTTATTTGTGGTGAAAAATTAATCCTGAATTGTACACATATTGATTAAAAGAATGTTCTTTTTTGTTTAAATACAGTGTCAATATAATGTTTTATAATATTTTAGTCAATACTTGATCTTTATAGAACAATGCCATGAAGTAATGTCAAATGAGTCATAATTAATGTACAGATTTATAAATATAGAAACCTTCCTTATGTTTAATAATTCTTCATCCTTAAATTACAAAATAAATTTAATTTATGATTCAGTTTTATATTAAATTTTGAAACACAATCCTGAAATGTTTCCATTTTGGGAATCAAATTATTTTTTAAGTAGTCAAACTATCTATATATGGCACCTTGCATTTATTGGAAATATTCATAGAAATATGAGTTAATTTTTTCTTATTCAGTTTATTAAACAGGTTGTTAATTTTTTTTTAAAAACGGAAAATAACTGGGTTGAAAATAATTCACTAAGAATGTACTAAACGATCCTAAAGCAAGGAAAAAGAAAGAAAGGAAAAAGGAAGAAAGGAAAGATAATAACAAAAGGGGGAAAGAAAGGAAAAGACATGATATCAAAACAGGCCAAGCTGGGTGTGGACCAGATGTCGGTCAGAGCCTCTGACTGACCTTAATTTTTGTTGAAAGAATAGAATTGAGATATCGGTCGATAAGAAAATCTGACCGACACTTTTTAAAGAAGAATTCTTATCAAAATAACGAAAGGTAACTTTTAAATTAGAATAATAGAAATGAATTTTACTTTAGTCAGAGAAAAGTGTCTTTGGGTTGGGGAAGTGACTGGTGAAAACGATATACGGAATTGACCTGTTAAGAATTGGACACCCACGTTAAGAAAGTAGAGATATTTCGACCTAGATAATTAAGATTCTCGGCTATCAGGAAAAACAAAGAGGTAAAAAAAAGAGCAATTGTTTTTGGACCACGGAGGGCGCCAGGAAGGCGGAAAAGATCCTTTCTAAAAGTCAAGACTAATTAGCAGCGGGCTGTTTGACAAAGTCCAGGTGAGAGAGGGCAAGATTGTCATTTTATGTGCGTGCAAAAAAAAGGTGCGAAATCGGATTTTGTTTTTTTAAAACCAGCACGATGTAACCACACCCGCCAACAAAAGGGAGAGGGTGTTCGGTCAATAACAATTGGTCGAATACAATCACGTGACCGCGGAAGAAGAAGGAAAGAAAACCTCGATCAATAACTGTTGGACGAGGCGGTCACGTCAGGCTGCGGAAAAGAAGAGAAAGAAAGGTTCGATCGGGAACGATTGGTTGAGAGCGATCACCTGACATGAGAGAGACTAAGAGAAATAGATATCGCCGCCCCCAAAGAGCACTGTGAGAAAGTAGGGGTGAAAACAATAACGATAATGGAAAGTCAAAATTAATACGGCTTTTGAAATTATCGAGAAACCCCTGACGCCGACCGACCCACCCCGGCTTGTTGCGGCGTCAATATAAGCAGGACCCCAGTCGGCAGAAATCAGTTGGAGCTGAAGTTGAGTTGAAGTTGGAGCTGAAGTTGGAGCTGAAGTTGAGTTGAAGTTGGAGCTGAAGTTGGAGCTGAAGTTGGAGTGGAGTTGCAGTTAGAGTTCATCCCCGGACGGCAGCGAGAAAAGAACCCTCAGACAAGAAGAACTTCCAGCCCAAGTAGATGAAGAAGAAGATTGCCTGAAAGCCTGAGAAGAATTGGAGCTGCAGACAAGCCGAAAGTCGATGAGAAGTTAAAGTTCAGCTCGGGACGGCAGTGAGAAGAGACCAGCTCAGGCGACAGAGAGTTGCGGCTAAGTTGAAACAAGAAATCTTCCACCAAGTTGAAACAGGAAAACTACCAGCCCAAGCAGACGAAAAGAAGAAAAATACAACTCAAGTCGGAGAGAGGAATCAACTGCGAATGATCGATAGAAATTAGCCCCAGTGTCGAACTGAACCACACTCCGACATACATACATGATTCTAGAAAGTAGGTAATTCGACATTTTTCTATTGTGTGATAGAAGCTTGGTGCCATAGTCCACAGAGCGGGTCGGGAAATGAGAACACTTTTGTTTTTATGTAACGGACTTTAAGATATAAAAGGTTGTTACCCTTTTTATCAGCAATTTTGTTTGGTGTCGTGAGTTTTTTTCTTTTGTTTGTGTTTTGCCACCCCCGTCGGACTCAACTTGTATCGGCCCCGATCCCTGCTGGTCCCGTCTGTCTAAGATCTAAACACAGCGTGGGTAGACAGACCGGAGATCGGTATAGTTGCTTTAGTGACCAGGTATTGGAAGCGAGTCGGGAAAGGCGAGGCTGGTGATCATCTGACCAAAGGGTTGGGCGTGGCACGCTTGGACCCAGGAGGAGCGCGACCAGGAGGAGCGACGTCACCGTTGGCGCCGTAACCAAAGGATCCGACACTGGGCCAGGTGTGTAACCGTCACATATATTTTTGTTCAAAGCCTTAGAATATAAAGAAATAAAATGAATCTCTTATGGAAAAAATATAAAATTTATTTAGACTCACAATATTTGACCATAAAGTAAATAAAAACTTCATTTTAATATTTTTGTTTCCTTATGATATAATTATACACAAAACATTGTTCTAGGATGAAAAATAACTTATTTTGGACTCAACTTATTTGTTCAATCTAAACACAACAGTAGCATTTCACTATGACTCTTTTCATAATATAATTTCATCAATAAATATTTTGACATATTTTGAACCTGATGGAAAAAGGAGTGGTGGTCAAATAACATCTTAGGATATTTAATAGAAAGAATTTTATATTTAACCTAATATTATTTGTTAGTTGAATATATAAATAAATACATATATTTTTAAAAAATTTTGATTTAATTTCTATGGTAAATACTAACAAATATAACTAACATCTACAAAAGATTTTTAGGATTCTTATTAATTGGTTGGCATATAAAGGAGTCCTGAGACAAAGTGTATGAGAATGACTACACTAAACCAAACTATAATGTTACCATTAAAAAAATTAAAAAAGTAAAATAATTTTAATGTAAGTCATCAAAGATAAAAGCACAGACCTAAGCTTCCTATGGTCTATGGTTGATTGCATATATATAGTCAACACACACTAGTAATTTATTCTCAGTGTATTTTGTAGTCATAATCCTATTATAATTGTTAGTTTACACAAAAGTTACAACCTGTCAATACCTCATAAATAATGGACTATTCTGTTTTGATCACGGGGGGAGGGGAGGGGAAAAGACACTACTTGGTTTCAGTGAGAAAATGAAAGAAAGAAAGAAGGGAAGATAGAAGTGGAGAGAGAGAGAGAGAGAGAGAGAGAGAGAGAATCAGATTAAGCTGATAAGAACGAATGCTACACTTTGATCTTAGCCAAAAGGCTGAAAAGTGATTGTATTTTCTTGCCGCCCATGTTGGCAGGGTGTGACACAAGGTCAGTGTAATATCATGGAGTCCAAAACATGCACCTGGATCAGGTCTGAAAATAGCCCAGCTCCCACAACTGTGGGTTGCACTGGCATCATCCATCTTTAGTGCAATGAGGGAGGTACTGCAGCAGTCTGTTTCATTTTGGCAAGTTTTTATAACATCAATTTGGAGCCATCTTTTTTTCAAATCGTTACACATCAATTTTTTTATTCATATCTTTTTTAATAAACTGTTTGGCTTCATTTAGAAGCATCCTTTTCAGAGAAACTGTGTTAGTAACATTCTAATTTTCTTTATTAGTTTTCATACAATTTTAATATGATCTTTTTTATTAAAAATAATTTTTATACTGCTGGTATCTTAACTTCTTACAAGGTTTTTAGAAAATATCCTCTCACTATAAGAGTTTGTCAGAAACATGTATTTAAATTCACAAATACTAAACAAAATTATACTGTTTTCAAGTGGTTACTTAAATTTTCCCTTAGGATAATAAAATCTTACCTCCTACATTTCCAAACAGTGAAAATGATAATTGCAATAAAGCAGGTCAGAGCAATAATGCTGGTTACTATAATTGCAATCAATAGATTATTGCTCATTTTACAGCAGAGAAAATTTCATTCAACCTGAAATCAAAATAAAATTTTACTTATAAAGTTTACAGTTCAATTATTGTTACTGTTTATGATAAATTTCTATTATATTGCTAGCCATCTGTAAAATATGTTACTCTTAATTCATCATTAAATCTTGTTATTGAATCTAAAAAAGAATTTGAATGAACATGTATGAGGGTTGTGGAAAACATAAGAAAACAAGAAAAGTCAGCTTTTAATTCATTTTACATCTTAGTCATCAATAATCAATCCTGAGTTCAATTTTAAAAGTGAAAATCAAAGATACTCTTAGAAATGAAGTCATCAGGGGTAGATCCAGCATTTTCAGTTAGAGGGGGTGTGTTCCTCAGAAAAAATTTCAATTCAAAATTTTAAATTCTGTGATCATATATATTAGGTTATAGAAATGAGTAGAGAGTGTTTATTTCTGCTAATAATGCAAGACTCTTCGGTAAAATGAATCGAGTTCTCTCAGTCACTGTGTGTTTATCTAAAAATAAATATGCTTAAATGCACCTTCATCCCTGACATGCACCAACGGCTTAAGGGTAGAATCTCTGACTGAAGCCAATTCAGCCGGGTTTCAGTCCTAGCTAGAGGCAACCAGATGTCTAGCCACACTGAGGAGCTGTGATACAGCAAAACAGTCTCTCTGTGAATGACAGTATATATGCTCCTGAAAAATGTATTTCAGTTGAGCTCTCGGGGAAGGAAGTGTGAGTTTGGAAACAGTGACTATTACTGCTAATAATGCAAAACTCTTCAGTAAAACGAATCAAGTTCTCTCAGTCACTGTGGGTTTATCTAAAAATAAATATGCTTAAATTCACCTTCATCCCTGCCGTACACCAATGGCTTAGGGGTAGAATCTCTGACTGATGCCAATTCAGCAGGGTTTCAATCCTAGCTAGAGGCATCTAGACACACTAATGAGCTGTGACACAGCAAAACAGTCTGTCTGTGGATGACAATATATATATATATATATATATATATACACTAGTTGGGATACCTGGCATTGTTCAAAATAATGCTCTGAATAATAGTTTATTATTGACAATTTAGTGATATTTTTCAGCCATCTTATGGAAAATAATTTTTTATTCAATCTTTGAAAAATAAACTTCATTGTTTTTTTGGTTTGTTAGAAAATAACTAAATTTAGGAAAATACCACACTAACAATACTACACTTGGAGAGGGGGGCATAGCATTCCCATATTTTTATTCAAAATGATAGTTTATTTTTTGATTTAAATACTAACATAAATACTCTGTTAATGTTGTTTTCAAACAAATCAAACTTAGATAAAAGTTCATAAACCTCTTTTCATATTATTAATAAAAAGTTGATAAAATTTAAATTAAGATATATTTAAACATTTAATCATTTTTTTTTAGCAAAAACTATAGTGAGCCTTCTTTGAAAAATAATTATTTACTATTTATTTTGGATGGAAATTTAGATATTTTTTAAAGTTTTACTTTTAAACATTGCATCAAAGAAGCAAACATTTCTCTGTAAATGAATTTAATTACTATTTTGAAAGAGAGTAGAAGCAAGCAAGATACATTGAGAATTTAGTTTTGAAAAGCAATTATGTTTAGTTTAAAATTTAAATTTCAAGTTATATTTGTATTTGAAAAAAAGAAAAACTTTAGTTAAATAAAAATTAGCAGAGACAGACATGAGTTATGGTCAACATTAGTTGTGTTGAATATTTGTTTTACGAATTCAACTATATTTTATTTAATTAATTTTTGAAAAATAAGGCTCGCTATAGTTTTTTGCTTTAATAAAACTTAATTTAAAATTATTTACTTTTTTATGTTAGTTACAAACCCCAAGAAATAATGAAGTTTATTTTTTAAAGATTGAATAAAAAAATTATTTTCCATAAGATGGCAGAAAAATATTAATAAGTCAATAATACACACACACAAACAACTGCCCTTTAGGGTGATGCTGGTTGTATATACAGACAAATCAGTAGACTAATAGGGGAGAGGGGAGAGGTGGGCCATTAAAACTGAGTGTCCATAGATGGGAAAAGCTTATTTTTTAGTTATAAAACCACTATAGTAACTACCAGTAATTATGATCATAATGTAAATACTATAAAAATGTATATATGGCATAAATAAATATATATTTAATATAGATATATTAATCAAAATGACAAAAATAATAGATTTCTCACAGCTACTTGCTAAATGTGTCATACTTTCTGTCTTTGTTTACAATTGAAAGGCCTACCACAGCCACCAAGCGGTCACTTTGAGAACAAATATTACTTATTCCACTAAGTCTGCAAATTTTGAAATACATTGCTGATAATTTGGAAGTTTTTTATCCAGTGGATTTTTTTTTATTTTGCCTGCAGATTTTGTCCATTGCATCTGAAGTCTGTTGATGAGGGGGAGGGTGCATAGATGACAGGTTTTTTGTCTGTATATTTTTTTGTAACTGGACACACACACACTTGACTTGTCAAATAACTTTAATATTCTTCTTCATTTAAATTTAATTTATTTTAATATTCATTTTTTTAAGTTACCCTTTTATTTACTATAGATGTGAAAATAAATTCAAGTTTAAATATATCTTAATTTAAGTTTATTTATTCAGATGTTTTAGCTAGACACACACACACACACACACACTCAAATATTTGAATAAATAAAAATATTAAACTTTTTATCAAATAATTGTATTTAATATTCTTTTTGTTTTAAATTTACTTTGTTGTTTTAATATTCATTTTTTTAAAGTTATGCTTTTATTTACTATAGATTGTGAAAATAAATTCAAGAGAATAGAAATTTTTAAAATTCATATAGTGTTTCAAAAGTATCAGCAGAATAAAAAAGTAAAAACGAATGGTAATCCTACTCATGAACAAGAATTATTAAAGTTCATTTTTACCTTATAATTCTGAGAATTTCAAATGCATTCTAATGCATTTTAATTTTAAAATATCTTCATAAATACAACTCATACAATGATAATTTTTGTTACAAAAAGCTGGTTTGTATGATAATGAGTCTATAGTTTTCTTAGTTTTAGCCGGACACACACACATAATTGTCCTTTATACATACATATATATATATATATATATATATATATATATATATGACAAACTAGAAAATTTCTTGACACATCTGAGTGTTAGGATTTTATCAGACTGGGCTTTGTTGATGTTGCTACGTTTACAATACATATGAACACAAGAGATGCAGGTAGTTTCAAAGCTTTTTTGAAAGAATATTTTTTGTTTCAATCTAGCCAAATTCATCTGTATTCTTTTACTTTTCCTTTCCATCACCTTTTTCCCTGTCTATCCTACATTCTGACAATAAAATCTACCAAGAATGGTGATATATTGTAAGAGCCTGGACACAAATATACCGTGGCTGAATTAGTCAACAAAGCACTTTCCAGGCATTTTCGCCTCAGTGGATTATTTTCTCTTTTAATCAAAGTAGCATTCCCTATGCTACTATTTTTTGTTATGGTGAACAACCAATGTGTTTTGTGTGTTGTTATTTAAAATGTTCCTTAAGTCTTTGATTGTTTTAGATGTAATTGTGACAAATTTTATGTTGAGTTTAGATAAATTCTTTTTGGTTGTAGTTGTGATAGAGTTTGGGTTTGTCAGGAAGGACAGTTTTTCTATTTTTGAATATTTTATGAGCCTTTTGTTTTGCATTGAAAATGAAATAGAGTGTTGAGGGTCTTGAATGTATTTTTAATATACTTCTCCTCTTGTAAATATTGAGGGCTTCAAATTTGGAGTGCTCTTAAATAGATTCCAGATTTTATTTTATTGTTATGATGGGATAGAAGTTTATTAAGTCATTTTTATTGGTTGATTTTGTTTTGCTGGACACTAAGTTCTAGGCTGTTGGCAACTCGGTGTAACATGATGTCTAAGAAAAGTAAAGTATCGTTTTTTTCTATTTTTAATTAACAAAACACAAAACACATTGGCTGTTCACTGTAACAAAACAGACCACAGCTTTGACATAGGTAATGCTACTTTGATTAAAAGAGAAAATAATCTACTGAGACAAAATTATCTGGAAAGTGCCTTGATTGCTAGCTCAGTCACAGTAAATTTAATTCTTAATTCTTACAATATTACCACCATTCTTGGTAGATCTTATTTTCATAGTGTGGGAAAAATGTGATGGTGATGGAGAGTAAAAGAAAAAGAATACAGATGAATTTTGCTAGATTGAAACAAAAAATATTCTTTAAAAAAAAAAAAAATATTGAAACTACTTGTGTCTCTTGTTTCATGTGCATGTGTAGACGTGGCCAGATCAACAAAGCCCAGTCTAAAATCCTAATGGATGAAACATGTCACAAGAAAATTTTCCAGTTTGTCATATTTTTCTAAATAGAGTTTGTTGATATATACAAAATTACATATCGTTATATCATATATATATATATATATACATATATATATATATATAAAATTTTAAATTTGTGTTTTTTTATTTATTTGAAATTTGATATGCAAAATTGTAAATTCAGACTTTTAAACTTTTGAGTAAAAAGTTAAAAATGAATCTAAAAATTTATTAATGACATATACAATTATTTTATGATAAAGACATTTTTCATTAGCTGATCATTTTGAAATTTTGATTTATTTTGATCATCATTTTCAAATTTTGATTTATTGATATCAGTAAGATTGAAACTGTAATGGTACTAATATTAATAGAAAACAATTAACATGAGTGCTACAAAATAAAGAAATTTTATTTCCTTTTCTTTTTACAAGAACTTGCGGAAATATCTGATAAAAATTAATTGTTTGTGTTTTGTTTTTCTGTGAGTTATAGAGAGAGAAATATCAGCAGCCACATGATGTTAAAGGTATTATCACCAAGTTGAGAATTGTAATTTGATACTGTTCATTCAGTGGTATTTTTTGTACATCTGATTAGTCAAAAAATGTGGTTGAG